CACACCCCCCCCCCCCCCTATACAAACAAGTACCCACCATCAACATGAGCTAACCTGCCCCCCAAGAGAAAGGAGGCCCAACAACACCCAACAATCAATTTATTTCCAAACCATAGCATAGCATACCATTTCCAGTATACCAAACCATCTGCTGGAAATTCAACAGATTTGTGAATGGAATGGTAGTTGAAGAGGGGGATCTGTGACAAAGCAAAGTACAAACAGAAAAGTACAAACAGGCTCCAACAGAAGCAGCAAATTCTTGACTCATGGCGCATACAGTACTTGTTAAGGGGCGGTGAATCTAAATTTATTCACTGGGTCATTGCCGTGGCACTAGTATGTGGCACATGAGTCAGGGACTAACTGCATTCGGATCCTCATCACACAAGTGTATTCCCTCATAACAAGCTCTCTTTAATCTCATAGTGAAAAGAAAAACATAATTCCTAAGTGGAGATAACGATTTATTGAAATGTTGAGAGATAAAAGACATACCTGTTTCATCAAACTTAACTCTTGTGCATGGATCTGTGGATGTGATATCACAGTAGAACAAACCACCTGACACATTGGCTTTCTGAGAAGCGAAGGCTTTTGTTCGAGGTGCACCAACCAACAATCTGTAAACAAGAGAGATCAGATTTAGATTTCTGGCAAATAGTCATTCTACAAGTACACATCGACACAAAGATTGACTGTTATCAAAGGACCAGTACGTATTAATACTTCAAAAGTAAGTGCAGACATGTCAAGGCAGAGGGGGCATTTTCTTTATTAAAATACGTCAATGCATTTTTAAATCTCTATACCTCTATGTTGGCATTCAGAAGGGGAAAACACTATAAGCTAATCAGCACAGTTCTTTAAATCAAACAAATAAAGCTGTCTGATTAAATGAGAGAGCACAGAGATGGCCTAAGCAGTAAACTGCTGCTCCCTCACTTTCCAATCATAGCTTTGACCAAGATGTATTGCTTTGACTGCTACGGGTAAAAGTAAATACAGATTGCCTTGAAAATCACTGACCATTGGATGTCCATTTCACGTGACAAGAGACTCATCCAAATATCCAAACAGTTGTTGCCGAATAGCGTTCAATGTGGATGGCCACCTTTAAGGTACCCATAGCCATAGTATGACAGTAACTCAATTGGGACGCTTTGGGCCTGATCAATTAAAGATCTCATATTTATGTATTCCCACGGCATTGACAGATGAGATCTTAATGGGGAAAACAGCCCATGAGCAGGCCGCCCTTCAAGATAATCTAACGTCTTCACGCGAGATGCTCTAGTAACTTCTGATCACTCCATCATCCCCTCCCACAAAAACACAAAGCTGAGCCAAGCATTCATGTCAATGAAAGAACAAGCTGAGATTCATCTTTGTACACATGACTGCCAACTTGTGTCTATGGCTGTCCTTAGGATATAACCTTATGAAGCTTTCTGTAATGTACATCAATTTGGGCTTTAGCTTCCAAATACCTCATTTTGTGGAGTCAGTCCCTTTCTTATTGAAGTACGCTTGTAGCTTTTGAAAGCAAATACATGTAATAAGATGAGGAAACAAGCATCATTGTACAATCTTCCCCACCCTAGGCCAAATGCTCAAATGGCATTTCATAGGACCATTACGCTTTATACACAGGATAACTACAGGTACTTTTACATACATTTCCGAATATGAAAAGGTGTCATTTACTTTAACTTCCTATGACATACAGAGTTAACACTGAAAACGTGTAAAAGCCATACTGATATTAAGTCGGGTAAAAAAATAACATTGTCACCATGACCTTCAAACTTTTGAACAGATATTATATTCCTTCTCTCTGAGCAGAAAGTGGTTTATTGCTGGTAAGGTCACTGTTTCTAATCTTCAGTAATTGAATATGAGAGAGATACAATAAACTTGCAGAGACTTAGTCTCCCCATTGACAGATGTGATGAGTGTAGACACGAAGGCCTATTCACAGTCACAGCCCAGTGTTGATGGCTGAAACTAATCCAGTTAAGTGATGGCGCATTTCATTGCCTAAATGAATAGATCTTTTACTGGTTACTTCGGTATTGACCTAGTACTTCTGAAACCAACTAAACTGAAATTCATTTAGAAGCTAACTTATTTGAGGCACTCTTTCTTAAAGTGACATTAAAGGCATCCTCCCAATGCTAATGTAAGGACTTACCTTAAATGATGCCTCTTAATCCGATCATCTTCTTCTTTCCTATAGTTTTCAGGAGTCCCTCCAGCGCTGGTGTTGTTCTCCGATCATGTGCTGACTCCTTTGTCTTAACTGGCACTTCCAGTCCCACGGAGTCTGTGCGGGTGAACGCTGCTGAATTTACTTACCTTGTGTCTCTCTTCGTTTCCCGGCCGAAGATCTGAACTGCGCATGCACCCGCCCCAAGATCCTTTGCGGACGCCCGAGAATTTTCAGATGTTGGTACGGGAGCGCACGACGGAGACACAGGTATGTTTAAACCCTTTGAAAAAGTTTTTTTTTGTTTTTCCTTTATCGTTTTGCATATATCTACTGCTTGGCAGTTTTTGGAAACAGTCAGAGCATTCGATAGTCCTTCTTCACCAACATCTAATACCCGTTGCTTATCAGGTGCTTCCTCTATTACCTCCTTAAAGTGATGTAAAGTCAAGTAGGTTTTGAAGCCATTTGAAATGCTGATTAAATCACTTACAATGGATGTTTGAAAGTTTTATCTTCCTGCAGAATCAGCTGGTCCCCTGAGTACTGATATCCTGTTTTAGGGTGGCTGCTTTCCCTAGTAGGATCCTATGAATCCACCCTTGTGCGTGCTAGTAAGCTGTGTGTGTGATGGACAGCTGCTGGAGACTGTGCTGTTCCTTGTCATCTTGTAACAGACAGGAAGTTCAAGGAAGCTGAGCTGAGAGCTGGAGCCGGCTGTTTGAAAACATGATGACTAAGTGCTTGGTCAAAAATATAACGAAAAACGTTGCTGGACAATGCATATTTGTTTGATCTGGATTCATTTTTTTTTTAAGTTTGAGAGTTTAAAAAAGAACAACAAAGGCACCTTTAGAAATGTTCAGTAATAACAATCTACAAACATACTTCTAGATAATTGCCGGCTTTTTATTCTTTGCATACCTTGTTTTTCTTTTCCTCCCCATTCTTCTCACAGTGGCCATTTTTACTAAGGGCAGATGAATCCATCTCCCTTTACTTCCGGTAATTCTGGCACATGTGACTAAGACATGTGACCATGTACATCATCTCAGGGGAGAAAAATGCCTTTCCCTGAGATCTCGTGAGACTTTGCAGTTTACAGATGAGATTTCCCAGCAATGCACTGTAATGTAACCTTCCCAGAAAGCATATCTTAGGCATGGGCTACATCACGAATGCCCAAGAGGACCAGGAAGTTGAAAAACAGTAATTGTAAGTAAAAGAAAATGTTTATTTAACTAATAAATGTAAGATAAGTTCATATCAGCATGCAAAACTGAACACTGATGTGATTTTTAGTGATAGGGGTGAAGGTTTGCTTTAATACTACCTTAAGAAAAAAAATGAGTTAATTGAATACAATTCCCAGGGTGATTTGCCTGACGTTTCCTTGCTTATACTTTATATTCTAGTGGTTAGTATTATGGAGATGACCAGAACCACCGGTGATGAGGTGAAGCGGCGAAAACAGTACGGTCTACTGGTGGGTGTCCTAGTATAGCTGTGTAATTAGCGTAAGGAGCCATTGAGTGAGACGCTAACTTAGAGGCCCACTTAAAGACATCATGGCCCAGCTGTGCTTTCTCTTTTTTGAGTAACTTTCCCAAGGGTCATTGCCTAAAATCTCTGTCAATACTGCAAATGCTGAATATGTCACATTCCAGAACTTAAGTGGAAAGTAAAGACTTTGCTATTTTAACTGCTGAATGACAGGGGGCAGGAATTTGCAAAAGGTGGGTCAAGGCTTAATTCCAACAAGGACACAAGTCAAGGCCCCCTTTTATTACACAGTTGCGTGTAAAACCTAATTTGGGAAAAACATATAGTGCTGCAGACCTTACCATATTTGCATGTCTCTTTATCTTCTAAGGCTGTGGCTGCTCTCAATTCCTCTGCTTAAAATTCCCCCTTCACTGGTTTCCTTCTTCGGTGGCTCCATCCCCTTACAGGGTCCTATGGGGCCTCTTTATGCCATGGAAAGTTAGCCACCCCCCTCCTGCTCCTGCCTCCGCCAAGCCAATGATTGACACCTGCTGGAGCCTCTGCTGTCCCTACTAAACTGTCCATGTGAAGGGTACAGGGCGCACACTCCCCTACCCGGAAGTTCACAGAAGTGGTGCTGTGGACCTAGACCCATCAGCTTCATGTGAATTCTGTAGCATAACGCAACACAGAAGCCGCATGCAATAAAATATCAACTAACCTAATATCAGCTTTTATTAGTCTGCCTGCTTGTTCTAAGCTGCTTAAATGGTATTTATGTTGGGTTGATACAGATTACTGTATACCACTGCTGGTTATGATTTTAGTACATTAAAGCTGAACTCTATTCAAGCCGCACAATTTTATTATATCTCAGGGTCTGTTTTAGCCGCTAGAAGATTTGTAATGCTGTCTAGTCAGTCTTGTGATCCAAGCTTACATGGCACCCTATAAAGTGAACCTGTTTCTGCCTTTTATGGACATAGAATAGGTTCACTTTTACAAAAAATAAATGAAAATATAATAGTAGAATACATTGGTGTTTCTTTTACATCTACCTGAAGTTCAGTTTTATCCAACTGTCAATTATACAATCTGAGCCAGAAACAAGTGTTGACACAAGTACTTTCCAAATGTCCCATTGTTTGGATATGGCACTTAGCAGAAAAAAAATAAAGTCTCATAAAGTTTTTAGCCTATAACAGTTTCTATGAAGAGAAGCACTAAAATGCCATGGCAGGAGACCTACGCTTGACTGGGGCTGTTCGGATTGGTACCTTTACTGACCCAAGTGGTCATGTGACCTATGTCAGACAACTTTGGGTATACAAAAACTACAGCACAATGGTGTATCACATCTGTCTTTTGCTCTTTTTAGATATGAATATGTACTATGGATGCACCGATACTGTTTTTTTGGTATAGAGTACGAGTACTGATATCTGGGCCGTGTGCCCAGATTATCAGGTAGTTGGGCGGCAGATCATGACCCATCGCCCGGCTTCCTAATTGCCTGTGAAGCCGGTGTTCTAGCAAAAGAACATCGGCTTCACTTGCCGAGGCTGCCTGGCTTCCGGACCAATCAGGAAGCTGGGCTGCGAGTAATGAGGTGCCATCCAGCTTCCTGATTTGTCAGGAGGCCAGGCTGCCTAGCAACAAGTGAAGCCAGCTTCCTAGCCAATCAGGAAGCCGGGCAGAATGTCATGACCCGCCTCCTGGCTTCCTGATTGGCTAGGAAGCCAGCTTCAATTGTTCCTAGAAAGACTGGCTTCCTGACCAATCAGAAAGCCGGGAGGCGGGTCATTACATGCCGCCCGACTTCCTGATTGGAAAGGAAGCCGGCTCCATGCTCCCTCGGCACTTGCGGTTAGAGGGCAATCTCCCTGCCCTATTTAGCTGCATTCGATCGCTACGGAACGCATCAAAACG